CTCTCTCTCTCTCTCTCTCTCTCTCTCTCTCTCTCTCTCTCTCTTGTGTCTAACATACTCTCTGTCATATATATAAATGCATTTCATATATAAATGCATATAGAAGCATCTTGCCCCATTTTGGGGTCGCCTAGGCTTCTAGGAAGCCCCCCAGCCACCAAAGCGGCTAGGGTCCTAGCAGCCAAGGCGGCAGAATCCGAAGTTTTGGACATTGGTGATCAGTTATGAGGTCAACTCACCAATCAAAAATTTTCTAAGTAATTCTAAAAGCATCTACAAAAGAATGCATGAAAGAAAACATCACTAATTGACTTAATAGGCTTCTCAATGCACTGAGCCTAGCTCATTCACTTTCTTTTCAGACTTTCTTTCCATTTTTTATGCAATCTCTCCTGCATACAGTTTTGTCAAACTAGAAAGGAACTTCCTTGAAATTTCAACCAAATATTAAAGATTCAGCATTTGTGTTTGTCTCCACTCACAACTAAAATTCTATTCCGAGACCCTAGTACAAAAGAAGGTAACCTTCAGAAAAGAAAAAAACCACTTTGGTTCTTTAAGACAAGAAACAATAAGTTACTACCACCATAAAGCCCAATATTCAAAAATTCCGATTCGGATTTGACCAATTGGGCGACCATGACCCTTAATCGCCTAGGCAACTGCCCAGCCGCCAACCTAGGCGGCCCCAAAAAGAGGCAGGTGGTTTCTATCTGCATTTATATATGAAATGGATTTATATATGAGAGAGAGAGAGAATTCTATTAGACATGGAGAAAGAAGCGGCCCCAAAAACAGGCATCTATATGCATTTATATATGAAATGCATTTTATATATGAGAGAGAGAGAGAGAGAGAGAGAGAGAGAGAGAGTTATTAGACATGGAAAAAAGACAACATAATAAAAAGCAAAAGTTATGATTTCTTAGCATTACAAGGGGAGGCTTGACACTTGTCGCAATAGTAGGAAATGGATAAGAAGTTAAGAACAAATAAAGACATGTAGCCTGCGAAGTGACAAGTTTTTGGAGTTTTCTCCTTATTCATTTTTACTGTTAATGTAAATATTAATATTTATTTCTCTTATTTTCTTTGTCCTCTTCTTGTTTGACTTCTTTTTTCCTTTGTTTTACATACGTATTAACATGAGAGGGAGAGAGGGGAGAGCATTAATTTATAAGTGGAATATGTGGCTAGGAGGTGTTCCACGTGGAGAAGTGAGTGGGCGTGCCAAATGCAAAAGACGAACATTAAGTATTGATTACTAAGTAGATCAGGTGGCAATAAACAAGTACTCCATGTGCAAAGTGAAGAGGGGTTGGTAAAAGCCAGAAGTGAGAAATGGTGTAAGCGTGTAAGAGAAAAATGATAATGAATAAACATATAAATGTAGCAAAGTAGGAAGAAGGCCGCCTAGGCTAAGGCGGGTGCCTGGCCAGAGCCCTAGGCACCCAACTAGGCGGGAAAAGCGCCACCTAGGCAGGCGAATAGAGGCACCTCCGCCAAGGGGCATGCCTAGGTTGTTTTAAAACCTGATTACCTTGGCAGTCGACCAAATTTTTCGACATTGATAAAGTCCAAGTTCTTTCATCACTGGAAACAAAACAGTATGAAAATCAAAACCTTGCACTTTGATGCATGCCTGCATAGAGGGGTAATATGACAAGATTTGGGACACTTAGGTGGCTTTTGTTCACTTTCTGTACCACATGGAACCTGAGATAAAACATAAGAAAATAACATTAGCCAAAACATTAAGTACAGAATTGGATGGTACAATGTTTTGAAAAAAGAACTTATAGAAAAATTTCTAAAACTGATGCATTTTAATTTCTATAATATTTTAGGATTGGATTAACCATGCACTTATATACCATAAAGAGAACCACATGTTATAAAAACCAAGCATAAACAACTTGTTGATCAACCAAAAGGTATTTGTCAGTCAATAAACCAAAATATGCAAAATTTAATATAATCGCATTCACTATAATAGAATATATAAAACTTTAGGCAACTATATAATATTTCAGATATCATAATTCATTGGTAAATAAAACTCATTCTTTCAGAAAGGTATAAAGTTTTATAATTTAAATTTTTAATTTCATTAGCCATTTCAGACTTCATTTATTTCGAAAATTACCATTTCCACCTTCATTAAACAAAGCAAAATGTTTATATAGCATGAAATTTCATAGGTGGCAAACATAAGGGGTGACAATTTAATAGGCGAAAAACCAACATGACATTCAATTAGCTCAAAGAAAATAAAATAAGTGACCAATCAAAGAAAACAATAACAAAGAAACAAGAAAATAAGTAGAACTGAAGTGAGTTATGGCACATAAATCAACTTTTCAGTCATTTAAACATGAGAGGGTGATGCACCTAATCACATAGGAGAAGAAACAAAACACAAAAGGAGTCAATCTTTCCTCAAAAAAAAAAAAGAACACAAAAGGCTAGATTGCAGAGAAAGAGAAAAGAGGAAGTGTAGTAATAGGCTAGATGATACCATCAAAAAGAGTAATTACAAAAAAAACACAAATAAAATTAAAAGAAAGTGCGAGTAAGAACTGGAATCAAAGTAATTGGAACTTCTAAAGTTCATCAAGGATTTTAACAATTGATTCTCATAATAGTAGCTCATCCTAGTGTTCTAAAATGCGGCTGCATCGCCACATCATGTGGGATGTGCTGGCAACCACATCGCCTAACACAGCATATGCACTTTGGTGGGACGTGCCCACATATGCCCCGCATCCACCGCATATGTGGTCGCATCCCTCATAGCCTGCATAGGGCGCATATGCAGCCTGCGTGAAAATGAAAAATACCCCCTCGAAAAGGGGTATTTTGGTCTTTTAAGCCCTGAAAAGGGGGGGACAGAGGGTTTGGGGGGGGGGGCTATTAAACCCTCTAAACCACCAAAATCAGCCACATCCGTGGCCTTTACGAGATCAAATCGATCAAAAAAAAAAGTGGCAGAAATTTTATTTTTTGAAATTCTTGGATTTTTGTCTTGGATGACCTTTGGTTGTTGATTTGTTTATTTTTTATGTTAATTTGAGGAAATCTTAGCAAAGTTTAGACAACAAATCAAGGGTTTCAAGGGCCGAGAAGAAATCGATATTTTCTTCAAGTTTTGTAACGTTAAAGTTTGTACTTGCAAATTTGTGATTATTGTTGTTGAATGTTTTATGAAGTTAGTTCCAAGTTTCTAGTTTCTACTTTCTAATGTCTTCTATGATCTATCAGGGGATAGTGGATACAGAATCTCTGACAACTGATACTTTTGGAGTTAATGAATAAAATAAATACCTACTATCGTATAAATCACCTCTATATTGTTTCCTATGCATCAACGTTTTTTTTAGATTTATTTAGAATTTTTTTATATTTACCGCATCGGGGTGATGCACCCGCATCTGGACCGCATCGCCGCATCCCCCCCCCCAAAGCGTCGGGTCACATCCCGCCTTTTAAAACACTGGCTCATCCAACCAAGAACACGTTCTAAGAAAGATACAACAAAGCAAACCAAAGATCCCTTAAATCCTAAGTTACAAACGGTCGGCCTAATATACAAGCCAAAAACTCCTGGTAAGAAGCAGTTAGTTCTTATTTCACCTGAGGAAGTAATTCTTTCAAAATACGAGAAGAGCTCATATTTATGCAGTCACTATTGAGCTAAATATATTCTTCTTCTTTTTTATTGCATGCAGGTAAGAATGAAAGCAGGTTGGGCTTGGTGACAAGACAAATTCATGGGCATTAGGCTTAATCCAAAAAAAACCTGAACGTTTCCAGCATAAAGACCTTTGAATCTGTGCACTTAAAGAGGAAATGGAATATATTTAAAAGCCACAAAATTCTAAGGAGTATTGTACTACTATGTTTGCCTCTCTGTAGTCCATTTGATATTTTATTAAAATAGAATGACAACGCTAATCCAAGTTGTGTCATCTTGTTCCATAAAATGACAACCAACAAAATTTACACCCAGAGAGAAAACTAAACAGAAACGATCAGTCAGAAAATATAAAGAAAACAAGAAATGAAAAAGGAATCTTTAAGGTTCATGATAGCTGAACATAAATAGAAACCTTGAAGTGGGGAGCCGCACCTCAAAGTGTGTGTACCCACAAAAACATGAAATGGACACCATCAAAGGGCAGGGAGCACAAGCACCTCTGCATCAAATTTAGAACCAATATGAGTAAAATAATCACTCAAAATAAAACAGAAAGCATCTTATCATTATTTCAATCTCAATCACAATTCAAGTACAAGAACAATCTTAATCACAAATTCGAAAACCTTCTCATTTTCAGTTTGGAAAGACCGAGAAATGTTACCTCATATCCTAATGACAAGAAATGGCTCTGAAAGATCAAATAACTAGCCTTATCACCTCATCAAAGTATAATACAGGAACAAAAATTGATGCCCTGTTATCACGAAACAAAATCTAGACGATCAAGATCAAATTTCCGTTCAGAGTGAGTTCTCCATCTTTTCTATCAATAGGATTAAAAAATTTCACCTTAGAGGACCACACAGATTCTTTAACCCCGGAGAATAGATGCTCATGTACCAATCCAAATAGTAGCCCATTAGAGAATTCTTGTAAACTCCCAAAGAGTAAGTCACCTCATACCACGAAGGACTTTAGGCCCATTGGTTTATGCAATGTTATATACAAAATCATGAGCAAGATTGTGGCTAGCAGACTACGTACAATCTTGGATGCTCTTATTATGCCCTATCAGGCAGCATTTTTAAAGGCTAGACTCATCTCTGATAATGTACTGATGGCTAATGAAATTATTTCAATGTGCCACAAACCAGCTAACATACCTAAAATGTGCCTCCAATTAGATCTGAGCAGTGCCAATGATAGGGTGTCTTGAGACTTTGTGTTAAAGTGGTTGACAGCTTTGGGTTTTCCCGATAAGTTTATAACCTGGGTGAAGCATTGTGTTAGTATGCCTAGCTTTTCCATATTGGTTAATGGCTCGCCTAAAGGTTACTGCAGAAGCAAACAGGGTTGCGGCAGGGTGATCTTTTATCTCCTTACTTATTCTTAATTGTTATGGATTTTCTAAGTAGGCAGTTGGAGGAGGCCTTCAAAAATGGCTCCCTATCGTTAGCTTTTCCCTCTGACTCGAACTATGGGGTTTCCAACTCCTATACGCAGATGATGTCCTAATTTTCTGTGAGGCATCCCCTAAGGCTGCAATTGCGGTAAGTAACATCCTGGATTCTTTCTGTGGGGCCACGGGGCAAAAACTCAATGCTATGAAAAGCAAAATTTTATTCTTTGGATGTGGTGATGGACTTAAATAAAAAATTATGGATATTCTTCATTTTGGGGAAGGGGGTCTGCCAGAGAAATATCTTGGGTTGCCTCTCTTTCATGGCGTTCTAAAACATTCCCATTGTCAGGCTTTGGTGGGAAGACAATTGCTAAAATTGGATCCTGGCAAGCTTTAATATTATCTTTTGCAGGTAGACTTCAATTGATTAAGTCGATCTTAAGTGTTTCCACAATTTACTGGACTCTATCATTCCTTCTGCCAATTCAGACATGCAATATTTTAGAGAGATGTCAGCGAAACTTTCTTTGGGCAGGTACTTCAGATATGAAGGGACTGCATCTTCTAAATTGGGAGACTATATGTCTTCCTTTTGAGGAGGGAGGTCTTGGTATTAGACATTTACAGGATGTGAACCTGGCCGGTATGATGAAGCTTGCTTGGAGGCTAGTTGCAAACCCCTCCTCACTTAGAGGTGAACGGGTCGGGAAAGAAGACCCACCAGCTGGACTGCAAGAGTTATTTCGGATCTACCAGCTGCTCTGCTCTGAGTCCAAAAATAGACATGTCTCCTTCACCCTATGGGTCGCATTCTTCTATGGACACTGTACTGATGAGGTTGGTCCTAGCCCAAGAAGAAAGGGGAAGGCATCCATGAAGGGAACCCCTCCAATATTTGAACTGTACAGCAGGAACGACCACATCTTCCTGGCGGCGTATCTGGTACTCTTCCTTTGCAAGTTTGCTCTTCCTGGAGATGCAGACACCATACATCCAGGCACGTTCTATGTAGCCTGCGGCATGAGAGGGGGTGAGAGTACGCGCTTGCACTACCGGTCCTATGCAGCATCTACTATGGCTTGGGAGGCGTGTCTTAAGGGGAAAGCCTATCAAGGTGATGAAGAAGGCAATGACATAGTGGACGGTGAAGCCTTCCCGAGGGACTTCAATCCAGTACAGGCATTTCAGAAACTCCTCCATATAGCTCTCTAAGACTAAGAATTCGTCTCACGCTTGGAAGGGCATCTCTTCTGGTTTAAATAAACTCAGGCGCAATGTTAAGTGGGTTGTGGGTAATGGTAATTCCATTCAATTATGGGCATATCCATGGCTTTCAGAGATCACTCTCTGGGATGAGTTTGGACATAATATACATAAGGACTTGGCTCTGCCTGCGAAGTCTAGTCTGGCTGATTATCTCTCTGATAATCCCCAACAATGGTGTCTACCTGACCTCACCACTAGACCCTACTCTCTGCGGAGAACTACTACTGGGCCTTTGTTTTTAGCTTCGCAAGCGGTGAAGTCTTTCACAGTCCCTCTTCAACCTTTTGATGATTTCCTTGTATGGATTCACTCCTCAGACAGATCTTTTTCTATTAAAAGCGCATGGAACTATATTAGAGACAGGGCCCCCACCAGAGAGATCTTCAAAAATTTATGGGCTTCTCATTCCCATCTTCGAGCCAAATGGTTCACTTGGATTGCCCTGCATCTTCGCCTCCCTACATCTGAGCTACTACAGTCCAGAGGGATCCATCTAGCACACTGTTGCCCGATGTGCTTGAATGAAGGTGATTCTGTTAACCATATTATTTTGTTATGTACTTTCTCGCAGGTTCTCTGGCGGTCTATTATGTGGCAATGTGGCAAAAGTGTCCCTATAAGCCCATCGATACCTTCAATATTTGAGAGCTGGGTCAAATTCCGGTTCCGACCAGGAGGATTACGTAATGTTTGGATCTCTCTATTCTCCACAACCATTTGGCTCCTCTGGACTGAGAGGAATTTGTGTATCTTTGAAGGAAAGAGACCCAAAAGAGAACAACTATTGCACCAGATCATTTCTATTGTTGCGGGCTTAGCAAAGGTGAAAGGATGGACTTTCCACCAATCAGAGAAGCCTATAGTTGATAACCTAAAAATCCAATGGCACCCAATGCATCCTAAAACTTTGATTTTGGTCTCATGGTCCCCACCCCCAGCAGGTCTCTATAAACTAAACATTGATGGCTCGTCCCTCGGCAACCCTGAAGCAATTGGTTGTGGAGGAATTATCAGAAACCATATGGGAGGATTTTGTGCTGCTTTTGTTGTTCCTCTGGGGTACACATCCAACAATGTTGCTGAATTTTCAGCCCTTGAAAGGGGCATTCAGCTAGTTATTGAACTGCATTGCTTTCCACTGCTAATAGAGAGTGATTCGCAGATTCTAGTGCATTCCCTGCACGGCCGCCATAAGCCCCCCTGGAATCTCCGTATTGTGACAGCAAATTGCCTTTACCACCTGGACGGCCGCTCCTGGAGTATTAAGCATGTCTACCGAGAGGCCAACTCAGTGGCCAAAAAAGCTACAAGCCCCTCTGAGGCCACGGTTTGGCGTGCCCGGCCACCTGATTTTATTTCTCCTCTAATTTCTTCTGATATGGCCAGGACGTCTCATGAAAGAACTGTACCATAAACTCTTATCCTTTTGTACCATTCTTATTTATTAATGAAAAATGGGTTGGGGCCCCAATCCCCACTGACTTACCCAAAAAAAAAAATTTCTTGTAAACTACACTGGTAAATCAAGAGATTGTTTTTGAAGGTGCAGAATACAAATGATTATTCCTCTCCCTCCTCTTTTAACTGAGGTAAAATGAACTGAAATATTCAACATTTTCTCATCATATTTAACAGAAACGAACAAATTTTTATCTTCATATGTATTTCACAGTTCAAGTTTAATAAAAATTTAAAAAATAATGATAATATGTCACAATGCACCAAATTTTAAAACATTAAAATCTGTGGGACACTTTCAGACAGACTCAAGAAGAAAATCTAAAGTTACAAACTCAAATAATACCTGTGGCAGCGTGAGGGGCATTTATGGTTTCTACATCGAAGCTTCCTGTCACATATCTGAATTTGTTGGAATATTAGTTTTACATTTGTCATATTCAAAACCAAATATAGGAGTAAATTGATGTGGCATTCACCTCTGAGCAGGGTGGACAGTCCCCATCACAACACCGCCGTTTACAGGCATGCCGCCCACAATCTCGTTCAATTTGACATTTTCTCTCACAAACCACACTTTGATAGCATGGAACCTAGAATAGTTCAATACACAATTCATCATTGAGAAAGAGACTAAATATTCACACCAATAATAAGTATTAAAGAAAAGATTTCAGTAAGACCTAACAGAAGTAACACTAGTCATTAACAGAGCTAATCTCAGTTGGATTCAATATCAACCGAGAGTATAACATTCACAATACGATCATCTGGTAAAACAGAATCAAACTCAAGCACGAATTAAGGTGTTAATGTAATGTGAAAACATAAAACATGAACTTCAAAGTCAGGGTAAATAGTTATTGATTGTTGTTTTTCTCAACGATCATGAAAACTTAATTTCTTTAAAGATAATTGAAGGCCATGAATGATAATCCCTTCCTCTCCAAGGGATCATCAAGCTTTAATATTTCATGGCAGGTGAGACCTGCCTGACACTGCCCATCCATGCACAAATTACATAAAAGTACTATAAGACAATTTGAACAAGACACTGGGTGAACTGCTAGAAGACCAAATTTTCTAATAATTAAAGACCAATCATCTAAAAATTACTACGACTCCGCAATGCCAAATTGCCAATATATGCTTAATCTCCAATCTTGTAGGTTTATACCAATAAAAATGTAAGTAGCTCAATAATTCCTGATAAATATAATATCCCCAAGACACAATCTTCTCCAACAGCACAAGGCTCAAAACCTTCTCTCATTCAAATTATAGATAACATGTCCTCATAAAATTACCCAAGAGAATAAGACTTATTGGATAGATGATTTTGGAATCCAGTTTTTTTGCCAAGCGACTTCTTTGAATCATGTCTGCAATTAATGCATTTGTATGTGCACAAAGTCAAAAACATTATTTATGGTTGATTGTTACAAATTAAATGGCAAATTTGTAGAATATTTCTTACAAGTAATATCAAACAATATCCGTATGAGTTCCTCAGTTTAGCATGTAATCCACATTAAATTCTTGCAACAGGTATACTATATATTGGTAAAGGTTTCTAACATCTATGGGTATATGTTTCTTCTATAAATTGAAATGGATTTCTAATATATGGGTCCATGTTTCTAACACACACACACACGAATGCCACAGGCATGCAAGCACGTGGTGCGCACACATACTCACACGTGTGCACACACGCACACACACACACACACACGATACTCAACCAAAACGACAAAAAAGATTTCCAGGTATTTCCAGTTTGAATATACCCACATATATACCTCACCCAGCTCTGCTGGTTTGCTGTAATTCATTTACAATGAAAAGTGAACAATATCCTTGGAATTCTAAATTTGTAAGCTAGAACCTTCCGAAAAGCATCCAGGAAACCATGACATATAAAGCCATTGACAAACAACCTAACCATGCTTCATCAACGTCAATGAGCGCACAAGACAAAGTAATATTTCTTGCATAATCTTAATTTCGTTCAAAAAGAATTAGTAACAATGCGACATAGTATAAAAAGTGCCAAGGACATCCATATCTCCCAGATAAACCTATACTTATCAATTAGTTTCTAAGTCTGCCTCCCACAAAACATGGATAACATGCACTGCTTAATGGAGGTAGAACTTCCTGAAGCCTACTAAATTTGAATCTAATCTAATCCTCTCCTAAATCAACCCCCTTCTTGAATTCAAAGACAAATAAATAAATTTGATGAAGTTCAATTTTGCTAATTAATTTTCATTTAAAAAAGTAAAATACAACAATTCCATGCAAAAAGGACGAGAAAGAGAAAGAACCAAGCTATATGGAAGTTTGCACAATAACTCATGCATAGATTACACATATCCATCCCACCCAAACAAATCTCTTCCAAAACCAAACAATCTCTTCCAGAACCAAACAAGGTGCCAACTTACAATTCCTGACAACAACTTGCCTGTTTCCTCAAACTCCCACATCGACAAGACTTCGTCATGACAATCCTGCAAGTGTCAACGCAAGGGCCATGGTGGCATCGCTCTGGGCACCGATGAAACCCACAATTCAACATCCTTTCGCAAGTTGCACCACAACTGGGAACCAGAGCATCACAGGCAATCCCCTTGTACTCTTTGTTTCCACAAGGACAAGTCATTTTTCCTTGAAGCTCACAAACCCCACAAGAACCAGAGTGACAACCCTTAGAGCACACATGTTTCTTGCAATCAAGCTCTCGACCACAAGGATTCTCACACCTAAAAATTTTATCAGAGCAAGCTCTCTCTTCTTTTACTTTACCACACATGCATTGATGAATTCCCTTCTTTTGGCAAGGAGTGCATGACCCATTATGGCAATTCTCTTGACATTGGTGAAGACCACAAGCCAAAAGCTTTGAGCAAGGCTTGTTACACGAGAAATCTTTTGCGCTACATCTTCGAACTTCGAGATTTGACCCACAAAAACATGGGGATTCTATGAGTCTAGGGCACGGAGGGCAAGGACCAGGATGACAAAGAAGCAAGCATTCATGGCCACAGTTTCCCTTTAATGGAAGGTTACAGAACTCACCACAAGAGTGGGACACTATCCATGGATCTGGAGTTGGGTTCTCAAGTTTTCCACAATAGCAAACATAGGTATGGGGAATTAGGATTTTGGGGTACTCTATTCTGCATTTGGGACAATGCCAATTGGCGTTTTCTAGGGCAAAAGCCGCAGCTTCAGGGAAATGGTCCCTTGAAAGCCTAACCATGGCCCTCTCCACAACTAAATTTGAAGATTGCCGAGCCCAGTTTTGAATGCAAGGGAGGTGAAAAATGGCGTAGCAACCAAGCTTGCAGGCCCAAATGGGGTGAGAATGGCGAACCTTTTCTAGACAGATGAGGCAAGCGAGAGCTCCACTTCTTGAGGCAAGGAGGAATGCTTGGATTTTAGAGAGAGAATGCGAAGGCGAGGTGCCATGGATCTGGAGATAGGGCCTAAAGATTGGGTCGTCTTCCATGGTTGAAGCTTTAAGCTTGGGTTTACGGATTCCATTATAATTTGAGTCATCGTCGTCTTCTGAGGAAGAGGAGGACGAGAGAGGGTGGGCGGTTGAAAAAGCCATCGCTGATTTTCTACTTTCTCTCTCTCTTCGATTGCAATATAAGTTCTGCAACTCCTTTCAGATGAAAGAAAGCAGGTGAGAAACCAAATCTATGTGCAGGATGAAGCGTAAACCACGTTATTAGTGCGAAATTCTTCTCTCTTACTCTTATGTTCTTCATGCGAAGTTCATCGCACTGGTTTAAAGCAAATCTCTCTCTCTCTCTCTGGAATGGAGAAGAGGCAGTGCTCAAAGATGGATCTCTTCCTCTACGTACCCACGCTCTCTCTCTAAAATCTGAAAACTCTTACTCTTTCTCTCTCTAAAATCAGAATGCTCATCGGTGTCGCCTCTATATTTTCCCTACGTGGCAAAGACCTGTGCGAGTTCAGTGTTCCATTGCCCAACCTTTATTAAATTACACTCCTTTCCCCGTTAGATCCATAATTCTAACTCTAAAATTAAGAAAGATCGGGGGCTAATTTCGTCAATGTTCTTTTTGATGGCCCACCACATGTTCTGATTGTGCCACCCAAAATATCGGTGAGAATACGATACTCACGCTTTTGTGGCACCGTTGTCTATGTGGATCACCAAAAGCATCAGTAGCGGTGTATGGTGGGTAGTACACACAGGTGGTCATCCACCGTGGATTTCAGCTACTAACGGTGGAGAAGAGCTGATATCTCATCTGCACAACCTAACGAAGTAATAAAGAAAAATTATCGTTAATATATTTTAATTTTAACAAAATTAAAAAAAACCTCAATTTTTTTAAAACTTCGCCCACACGTCTCTTTTTTCTTTTTTTTCTTTTTTTTTTTTTTTTTTTGGTATTTTTTGGATGAAAATACTGTAATGACATTGTGACATATTGTATTTTTTGGATGAAAATACTGTAATGACATTGTGACATATTGCAATATTAAAACTACCGTGAAAATATATTATGATACTTCTAATATCGTAATAACTTATATTTAAACAATTATGTATAGTACCGTATTGACTTCAATAGTAACTGATTCGGCCAAAAAACTCACGAACGCAAAAAAGCCGTAACAAACAGTTAGTAATTTCACAGAGAACAATTTCATACCTGTGACCACAACGAGCGGTACTGGGCTCAAAGCAAATATCCAAGCAAACCTGGAAATAATCCTCAGTCAAATGAGAGAGAGAGAGAGAGAGAAAATAGATGTGGGTTTGATCCCCCCAGTCTCGTACCACACAAGAGAGCTCTTCCCTCAATCTATCCAAACACAGGGGAGCAGGAGCATGAATCTACCTTCGATCTCTGCACATTCCGAAAGAACAATAGAACATGAAGACAAAAAAAACACTTGGGGGAAAACACAGCAGAACATGAAGAAGAAGAGAAAATCACAGTCACTATGAGAAATAAATTCATGAAAATATTGTAGAATTGAACACAAAAATGACCACAGTGAAAGACAACCACGTAGAACACTTCAGAGAGAGAAATAACTTTCTTGAATTGCAAAAGAACAGGCTCAACTACTATTTATTCTGCAACAAAATCTTTGAACCAACAAGAGAGAAGAAAAATAGTACCTAATTTAACAAAATAATCCAGAAAAATCTGAGAATGAAAAAATGAATGGAAAGAAAATAACCCATGAAATCTAGAGAGATTAAAAATGTAATGAGTGAGGATCATGTGAACAAATAGCAAGGAAATGAAGAAAAAAAATGCCCACTAAGCTTTCCAAAGAGGAAAAAGTAATCAAGATATTAGGTTCGGTTTGAAGCTTTTCAAAACATTACGGTAATAAGAATGACGTGAATATATTTATATATTAGGGTAATTAAAATACCGTAATGACATTACAGTACTTTAATTACCGTATTGTATCTTCACACTATTACAGTAGTTTTTATACCGTAATACTCTCAAAATGTATTACAGTACTCTTTCTACTGTAAAGGGTATTTTCGTCCAAAAAATTTAAAAAATTGAAAAAAATGGCGCGGAGTAGGTTTTGGGAAGTTGGGGTTTTTTTTTCCAATTTTCTTAAAATTAAAGTATATTAGCGATAATTTTCCAATAATAAAAAAAATAAAAAATTTTATTATAGATGTCTCAAAAATTGATCGAAAAGGTTGTTCGAAGCTAAAAACTTCTAAATTGATCATCTCAACCTTGATATGTATGGTTATGAAATAAATGGATTCAAGTCATAAATAGTATCTAATGCATTATCTAGAACGTCCAATTTCAAAAAAATTAATTCTTTATAGATAATGCTTGATTTGCGTCAATTTTTAGAGCTTTGAATTTTATAATTAGGAGTCACAATAGATTTTTATGCTATCGTAAGGCTTTTAGCTCTCGAACTACATAATTCAGCATAGTTTTAAAATGTGCTTTACTTCAATCTGGACAATTTAAGTTTAAGATTTTTTAAAGTGTTAATGGATCTGCTCAAGCTACACCACGTTCAAAGCTTTAAATTTGATAATTATGGATTGAAATCAGTGTTTTAAAAAACGTCGAGTCGAACCGGACTCGCCCGGTTCGACTCGAAAATCGCAAAAAGTGGATCGTATCGGTTAAAAAAAATCGGAAATCGTCCGGTTCTAGAGAGAACCGGACGATTTTGTACAGTGAATCGCCGATTCACTGTACGGAATCGGCAAGTCCGAACAGTGAATCGGCGAGTCCCGTACGGAATTTTTTTTTTTTTTGGTAATCCA